ATCACGTTTTACTAAAAATTGTTTAAGATATTTGATATGCAGTAGAAAAGACTCGAGTGAAACATACTGACCACATTTTTTGTTTGATCTCAATACAGAGACATGTTAATATTTTTGTATTGTTTTCAATAAAAACTATATATGTATTGGTTGAGAAAAAATGCATAGTAAGACTTCAATGTATTTTTAATATTTAACAAAAATCCGAACTTTTATGTTTTTAATAAAATTAATTTGTAAAATTCGTATAATATGTTTCATCAATGCAAATGAACAAACTTTAAGGCATCACGGTCACTAAAGATAACCTCAAAAATTTATGGCACCTAAAGAATAGATTTATAGTGAATTGTTACTTAAAACAAACTTTTAAAGTCTTAAATAAAAGAATAATAATAATTAAAAACTGATTATCAAATAAGAAATTGGCTATTAATATTTTATATTTTTTTGAACGGCAAGCATAAGAATAAGATTAATAAGATTAGTATTAGAAAAACAAAATATTTAAACAAAAAAACTCAGAATTACAAGAGAAGTTTGACATAGGAAACATGATAAAATTTTATTTTATTAAACAATTAATTTTGATGCAGGTATTTTGGAATATACCTAAAGAATAGATAAAAAAAATATAATTAAGAGCTAATTATCAGATAAGAAATTGATTATTAATATTTTACATGATAATTACATGATAATTTTGTATAGTAAACAATTAATTATTTTGAGGCATGTATTTTGGAATTCCATATACGGAAAACTAGTTATTTGTTCAATAGCCAGCGATGGGATCTTAAAGTTCAGAGAAATTTACAACTCCTAAAACATAATTTACATACACATACTCGCTTATTGGCTCTGAAAATAAGAATCCTTGTCGTGTAAAAAGAAATCCTCGTTTTCGCCTTTTCGGTGGATGCCATCGGGGCAAATCGTTAAATATCATCTCCATCTCCGTTTGGAGGTGTATGCAATATATACCATAAATTTTATATTTTATTGCGATCCGTCGTAGTCGGCGGCACCATTTTCTGATTCTGGTATGTCAATTTCTCCCCATTTTCTTCTTGTTTTGAGCTTAATTCGACCCCTTCTTAAATATATATGCGATGATTTTAACATGGAAACGTTTGTTAGATCCATGTTCGTTGTGATTTGATGCAACCCCGATTTAGTTTTCGCTTCTTGTTTCTAATTGATGTGATTGTGCATTGTGATTGAATATGCAAATTTTGGCACTCGATTTTATGTTTTTTGGCTGATCCATCTGATACTTGCGGGCCATATGTGCGTATGATCGAGTATAGGATTAATAAATGTAGACTGATCTAAGATTTGTTCTTAATTTATAATAATTGTCTTATTTGGGTCTGAGAAACGTAAATCTTTGAGATCTATATGCATTATGATAATCGGCAACGGTGTTACTCTCTGAACTTGTTTCGCCGTCTATATAATCTGCCTTTGGGGGTGTTTGGATGTGCGTTTTGGGTGATTTTTGCTACTTCAAGTTGTGATAACAGGTTTCTAACGATTGGGTAATGTATGATGTTATATGACCATTTAGGGGTCAAACACCATTACTAAGAAACCATTTAATAGGAGCAGCAACAAAAATTGATTCTCAAAAAAGTGAAATTGTCTTCTTCCAAAGAAAATCGAAAGGGGTTTCAGTATTTGAAAAGGGGGAAAGAAGAATTAGTCAGAATTTTTTGATTTTGGTTATTTTCTCCTACTTTCTTAAATACTATTTTCTTGCCACCTGTTTTATTAATTCTGAGTATTAACATTACTTTAATCACTTTTAAAGGAACATCCAAACACCCTCTTGTTTTATAAAATGTGTTTGGTTTGTCTTGACATAGACCCTTTCATTATTATTTTGTATTAGTATTATCCATCTATGGTGTACGTTCAATATCATAGTGGTTGTTTAAAAGGTTCTTTAGGTGGCTTTATTGCTTGCATATTGATATCAATCAGCTTAAAAGAATGCCCCAACATGAATTTAAATCATGACGAAAAAAACTGTATCTTGAGTTGATGTATGCATAAAGAGTGTGTATCTTTTATGGATGGAATGATTTGTTTGAATGTGAGAGTAAATGACCATTTTACCCTTTGTGAATAAAGTCGCTGCAGATTATGTGCCGTTGAATTCTGGGCCCCATAAATCAATGGCTCTAGACGGTGTAATTACTTCACCTCACAGGAGGACTCAAACTGCATTTTCTTCAACTTCATCCAGAAAAAACTACACAAGTGGAAACGAATTGGGCAGCTTCTCAACAGTGGTCAGGCGACACCGGTTCCTATTAACTGCCCTTGCACTACTTGCTTTCCTGTGCACCATTTATCTATACTTTGCCATTACTTTAGGGGCTGCTGATGTCTGTATGGGTTTGACTGGATCACAAAAGGCATTGTGTCAGGTTCAACTTGCAAAAGACTCGATAGCTAAAGGAAAACTCAAGTTTATGTAGTGTCTCTCTCTCTCTAGGAGGAACACTTTAGAGCTAAATAGTGAGAGGTTTATGTGTTATTTATGATGTGTCTTTATTAGTTTTCAGAAAGAAAAGGGAAAGGAGAAACTATTGGTTTTTTGGTGATTTGCAGCTGAAAACTGTGAAGAAACTAGATTGTGTTCGTAGTACTAAATTACTGTTGCTTTTTTTTTTTTACTGTATTGAAATTAATAGTTACTGTATAAAATTGGATTGATAATTGTTTATCTGGTGTTTTAATATATATATGTAATTTAGGGGAAAGGTTGTTGAAATACATGTTTCTTCTACGATGATGTATGTGTGAACTGACTGAACACTGAATACTTGAATACTCGTATGTTTTTTTCACCTAAAAGGCCTTGTGTATGAAAAAAATATATATATTTTTTCAATTTCCTGTAATGCTTTTATTCAATTCTCTATTCGATTAGTGCCTACCAAGCACAACTAGATAGGAACATTAACGATTCTCTGGATTCAATTTGAAATCAGTAATATATATTTTAATTCAATAATTTTATTTTGAATTATTTTAGAGGTATAATGTGTTAAATAAGGTTTGGTTTGTATGTCATGTAACTTTCCATACAATATATTAATTCAGGTTTAACAAATACGTTATACTGTATATAACCACCCCCAAAAAACCATTTTTGACAAAAGCTTCGTCTTTAACTAAAGTGCGTTTAACCAATTTCAGAAATACGTTATACTGAAGTGTTCAGAATAGATTTACTGCTGTGAGTCTGTGACACTTCGATTGCCGATGAACGAACGGAGGAAGGAATTCGGAATTTGATGCGGAAACCTGTAAATTGGTATCATGAGTTGAGGTGCTTGTGGAATCGATCAGTGTAAGAAGTATTGTTGTGCTTCATGATTGTGTATGAAAGATGTGCACAGATTCTGAAAGCGCATTCGAGGACTATTCAAACTCCTTTTGATTGTTTGTGATCCTCGTTTTTCCCATTTTCCAGTTCAAGGAAGTGCCGTTGGTTCATTTTTGCCGGTAAAATCTACTCATTACCAAAATCATTTATATTTTCCGTATACACAACACCAATTCCTGTTTGATATTCAATTCCTGTGAAGAATTACAATGCAGCGCCATTTTAAATCGTTCCTATTTGAATTTCCGAACAACAATTATTCTCGATTTGGTTCAGTAACGAAAACCAAAAAATCTAACCGACTTCCGTGCTTCAAAAACTTGACTGAAGAGATTAAGTTCGATTCAGCTTTACTATATCAGATGCGATAGGCAATTCGTGATCTTACCACAGCTGAAACAAAATTTCTTATATTTCAGGGCGTTAAGACTTAAGATTAGTTACTCCTTCCGAATAATTCAATGCATGATATGACATCATGTATTCGTTCACAGACTAACAACCTTTGTCTTTCAACTGTTTGTGAAAATGCTTGAACTAGAATAGATCCAAAAACTCAATCTCAACCCAGAGATTCCTGACTGAGTCGTGTGTGTATATATATATATATATATATATATATATATATATATATATATATATATATATATATATATATATATTCTCTACTGGACTATTTCTCATTTTATGTTTCTATTTAATAACCATATAAACCTGACCTATAGCTGTTCAAGAAAATAATATTAATTCTGAGCTTTCACAAGAGTTCTTGCACTCGGGCTTTCATTCTTGGTGTCGGTGCCTAGAAAAGATCTGATTCTTTCATCTAACCTTTACAGAAATGACTTGATATCCCCAAATATTCTACTTAGTACTTGTTCATTTTTACTCAGTTTCCACTACACTCCAATTGACAGGGAATGATGCAGACTGATTGTTTCTCCAATTTATGTCTTGTTCTGTTGCATAGTGCCAACGAATCATAAGCTCCCGAACCAAGAAATTCCAGGTGGGCCCTCTCATTGTACTTCACTACATATGCATTACGCAACAGTTCTGAAGATTCCCTTTTCCTGTGGCAGATGTAATTAATTAATCTATCACAGTATCAAGTAAAACAATTCATAAGATCGTTTCCATGGTTAACTTCTGAACTCAAATATATACATTTAACTTGGTTATATTTTGTGGTAAACATAGGACATATTATATGTACTCCTCCTTGGAGTCAGAAGATCCGTATTATCTAAACAAAACACTCAAAAAGCATAAAATTGCAACAATATATTCTTTGAATGATATAATATGCACAACAATCATGAATCATGAATCATGAATCATGTCCCTTTTGAGTTTTCAATCCGAACTGCACTTTTCTTTAGCAAATCCAAGCGTAGACACCTTCGTATTGTACACAACCCTTGTATTTTTCTGCTGATAATTCCCAATAATACCAATTTCATCTTCATCCGAAAGCCCCGCAATAGCTAAACACACTTGAGTCGCATCAGCCTTTACAAAATATAAAACCCCGGTTACATCCACCTCAAGCTCAGCTTCCTTCCCAAAATGCAATTTAATTGTGGGTATGTCCACTTCTTCATAGCTAGATAAGTCAAAACAAGTATCCAAGATCGAAAAGGCAGGAGCTTTAGGAAAACCCGAAAATTGTTTTAAGAATTCGGACTTAACAACGTTGTAAACAGAAGGAAATAGCCGTGTGATTACCGTTCCCGAGTCGATTAGAATATCCCGTTTACCGAAACTCGGATCTTGTAACGATACCCCTCCGATGCTAACTCCAGTTAGGTTAAGAAAGTAAAAGGTGGACATCATTGGGTTGGATATAAGGTTAGTATACGAAATAGGACTCGAGTTTTTGTAAACCGAAGTCTCACCTCCTAAAATCAATGAACCGGGACCCGAATCCGTCACCGAAGGTAAACAATACGAGAAAATCCCTCCAAAAACATCGTAAGATTGAGAAATTACAGAAAGAGCACTTCTTCCGAGCCCCATAAGTCCGGAAACACCCCCAAACAAGCCGTCATTAACCCGTCCACAACCAAACACGAAACCTTTGACTGGTGTCGTACCAAGTACGAGGTTGTCAGTAGCTAAATCGCCACGTGTATAGGATCCATCTCCATAGCTAAGATAGTAGTTACAAGATGACGAGTTAACCCCACAGACACCTGAACTGCCGGTGGCGTCTTCGAGATTTTCACATGTTGTTGACTTGCATAAGACCGATTTATATGATAAAGATTCCGAGGGGTTGAAAAGCGGTTCTTGTTGATTGTAACATGAACCGCAAGGTTGACATTGGACCCATGTTAGGTCACTCCCGGTATCCACGATTACGGTTAAGTTTCTGCCACCTAATCCAACGGTCACGATGTAGTTTAGGGTCTCGAGTTTGGCTCCAGAAGTGAGTGGGATTTCAGCTTGTGAAAGTTGTTGATTGAAACCGTTGGAAAGTGCGGTTTTGATTCGTGATTGGAGGGAATTGACTCGGATTTGATCGGAAAGTATGTGTTTTTGGAGGATTTGGTTCCAATCTGATATGGGTTCGGAACAGAAATCCCTATGATGCAGTTCTAATATAGTTGCACTCTTTTCTGTTCCTGAAAAAACAATATTATCACGTCTTAGAACAACTACAGTGCATAGTTCAATGAAATGGTCGAATAAGGTGTTAATATTCAGTTGATCAGATTCAACCATAATGAGATGATTTTTTGGTGTTCAAATGAATATGGAGTTCGATAAATATTGGATTGTGAAATGGGAAAATTGAAACTTTTTTAATATAAAATTATTAACAAATAAATATTTCTTCCGTCCCAATATTATTGTCCACAGACAAAAAAACATATAGATTAAGAAAAATATTAATTACCATTAACTTTATTTAATAAAATAAAAGTTTTGTCCTTACTTTACGTTTAATGTTTCATTAAATACTTAGTTGGTTAAGTAATAATAAAGGGTATTTTTGTAAAAATATTATTTATTTTTAGAAGTGGATTATTATTTTGGGACAAACCAAAAAGAAAAAATGGACTATAATTTTGAAACCAAGGAGTAATTTTTTAAAAAGTATGTTTTATTGAATTTATTTTATAGAATTCATTCATTGTAGAAAACATGGCATACGAATTCGTACAATAGATTTTATAAAATTACTTTATGAATGCAGTCTGTTACAAAAAACGTTTTAGTTGCTCTACTTATTTGGCAAAATAGTAGGTCTCTTTGCAAAATATCAATAACTTCGTAAATAAAAATTACGAAAATTTTCATATTTTTCCTAATACTTCATATTTATATAAAGTATAATAATTTTGCAAAATATAAAAAGTTTTGCCAAATTATATATATTTTTGCAAAATATCAATAACTTCACAAAACAATAGGTTTTCCGGAAATAATTTCATAAAGTTTATTTTACAAAAGGTACATTTTGCAAAAATACTATATTTTATAAAAGTATCAATAATTTCACAAAAGGTTATTTTGTTGTATTCTAAAAAGATAATTTCACAAAGATTCATTCTACCAAAATATTTAATTATGTTGTGATAACTTACTAAAAGAGAGATAATTTGGCTCCTATTTTGGTAATTTTTACTGAGGAACCCAAACAGGAATGGATGGATTATAAGGAGTGTATCTGACTTGTATGTCATGCATAGAAAACTGTACTCTGATCTGGACTTTGGAATTTAACCTCTGGAAAAAGTGATATTTTTGCATGTTGGGGATGACATATTCAGGAAAAAAAATAGTATAAAGCAAAAAAGACAGATGATTTATATTTTATAGTACTAACGTGATCTTTGATGGAAGCAATTGAGTGTGTCAGTTTGTTGCCGTGTCCACCTGAATTTCTTCAAATCAAAAACTTGCTTATCGCCATAGCCATGAACAACACCGGTGGCAGCAATAGTTGCATAGGTGGTCGGAGGTGCATGTAAAATGAATGAAAAGAGAAAGAAAAGGAGGAGGAGAGACATGGATTCTAGAGAGGGAGAAGGGGGAGGGGTTTGAGAATCTTTGAAGAGTTGGAGGCTGGCATGAGAACAAAAGGGAAAGGGCTGGCTAATGAGTTAAAGGACCCCACTCTGGTTGCATGAGAAATTATTGAGCATTCACATGCATATCTACATTTACTTATTGGAAAGAAAGAAAGAAAAAGGAAATAAATGTTTAAAATTGGTTGGATTAGTTTTATTTGATAGGTAGGGCTAGATTGGCTTGTGATTCTTCAACCATTTTTTATTGGTTTGTTTTTTTATGGCCGAGCTTCCATTGAAAATGACCCACCCTTCATCACGGAGTCAAATTGCATTGCCCATTGCTTTTCCATTGCACCATTGGTTATATTAATGTTTTAAAAATCGGTTCGAACCGGACGATCGGAAATGAGGCTGAAAACGATTCAACAACGATAGGTTTTATGTAAATTGCTAGACTGGATTGAATCAGATGGTTTCTTCAAAAATCTTTGGATCAATTAGGTCATCCGAAGTGTATATAATAAGACCGATGCACATTAAAATACAATGATCTATATGATATTTAATATATTAAAGATATGCTTGTGATCGTGTAAGAATAAATGAGCTAGCATCAATATATGTTACAAAAATGAAATAAATGAATGCAATAATAATATAAATGACACTCTTTTGCAATTCATCTATAATTTGTTGCTTAACATATTAAGTACTAGTTAGTGAACAAATACTAAATTAATTAAACAAAATAAAAAGAGATAAAAAAAACATTGAGGGCAAGAGCCGGACCTAGAAAAAGAGCGAGACAGATGTAACGCCCGCGTTTCCTGCTAGATTAGCCATAGTTTGTAATCACCTTGGTCAATTATCGAAACATTTATATGAATGAATAAGAAAAGATTATTCATATATTTATGTGCTTATGTGTTTTATACGATACTTTATGCAAATTGTATAAGTATTTAATAATATAATAAATAAGATTAAAATATGCGCCGAAAATAAAAGATTATTTATGACAAATAATCTTAACCTAGTTGTATTATATGTAATGAGGAGTTCAGGGATATGAGGATCGTTCAAATCCGACTTCGTATGAAGAAGTTATGTTTTTTCGAAGTTTCGTGATTAAACCAGTATGACTCTACGTATCGTAAAAAGTAAAATTTTGATAAAATACTTTTTAACCTAAGTGATCTAAGCGAAAATCACAGTAGTCATTAAACCGAGAGCGTGCATATATAGAACGTCCAAATCTGACTCCGTATAAGGAAGCTATGATTTTTCGAAATTTCAGTGTAGCAATGTGGAACACTGATATCGAAAACTGAACTCATATGCGCAAGTTATGGATTTTTAAGAAATCAAGAAAATTCGCGTGCAACGACGCGTACCGACCAGAGCACTGACACACCACCCCAATCGTGACACGTGGCACCATAGGAAAGTAACACGTCACTACCTCCGACCACATGTGTGATGCACAGGGAACATAGTGCACGACGTGCACTAATTTTCAGCCTATAAATTGATGCGATTTTCAACTTAATCCTTACCCCTTCACTCAATTTCTCTCTGAATCTCTTCGAGCTTTTTAGCCCTTTTGCCCTCTAGTTCTCGACTACTTTAGCGAACCCCTACGGTGTCAGATATCCGAAGAATAGAAGCTCTCGAGTCAGATTTATGCCTGTATATTTCCCGGCTTTTGTTAGATTATTCTATAAGTCAAACTATGCTTATTTATTTTAAGTGTAACTTTTAATTATAGTCATAATCATTATTATGAACCTATAATTAAGTATCAGTGATTCAAATTCATTATATTGATTGATCTACTTACGAGAGTGATGTCTAGGATGAATTTAGTAAGATGTTTAAAGTGAGATTTCCAAACTGTATACTTTGTATACCAAACAAACCCTACCTCAAATATGATCCTACCTGGTTATTCCTTACTTGATAGATCTTGATGTAAAAATTGAGATTATTGAGGAATCTAGACTATCATTAAATAGTCGTCATTGATTATGAAACTAGACTAAAACTTAGTACCTTATACATTTAAGTTTTTGAGAAGTGTTAAGGCGAAACGCTATCCTAACCTCGAGTCACCTATTTTCTCAGGGGAGTGAGTGGTTACTTTCAAGAACATAATTTAGTAAAAGTATTTATTAAATGATATATGTTTTATTTATACTTTGTGCTACTTGTATACCTATAATAGTACAACATACTAGGAACTATATTGGATATAATTTGCCTTTACTATAAGTCTGGATTAGTTATAATAGGACTTGTATAAGGTGTTTAGTTCCTAATAAATTGGATATTTACTAGGTCTCGTTTTGGGGTAGAGTGTGAGATCAGAGTGGAGTGTCATATTCATCCTCTTTATTAGATGACCAAAAATGATGGGTCTATATCAGACAACTAACAAGTATGTATGGGTCATCGACCATAATAGATGACAACACTTGAATATTCTAGGCAGTCTAATGAATTACGTTGCTAGTGTGGACTTATAACCTACAGACATAGATAAATCATTTATCAGTAACTTTGAACATTGGTTGCCTTTATATGACTTACACTGACCATGGACTCCCCTAGTTGTGTAGTCAATCAAATACTCAAACGGTTTATCAGGTAGAGTGATTCCTCCAGATACTCGTTGACTTAGGATTCGTGAGAATCAGTTGGGCTGGGTAAAATGTCATTAAGGATATTTATGTCAGATTTTATATACCTATATTATTTGTCAATGATTGTTTTTGCAGGAATGATATTATGATTTATTATCATCAAATTATTATGGGCTTGAAAACCCTATGCATCTCACCAGGTTTCTCAAACCTGACCCACTCGATACGAACAATGACATCCTTGGAATTTAATATAACAAAATAACTTTTATTATCTCAATATGTTTCCATTAACTGAGAATTTCCGCCTCTCAATTAAATAAAAGGTTTTAATCGGTTCTAAAAAATGAGGGATGTCACAACTGAATCGGTCTAAAACGAGAACGATCTCAAAAGAAAACCAAACTGTCCGAGACAGACCCAAGACTGGTAGCTAAAGTTTATAAACAGAATATTTTTGTGTTAATTACATAATTTTTAATCACACATTATCTAACTTCTTTCCTTTTTTCTTTGGGATATATACAGTAAAGTCCCAATATTTTCATCGATTTGACAAGAAAGTCCTAAACTTTATTTTTTTGATAGTAAAGTCCAAATTACCGGCACTTTTTGACATTTTTACCCTTTTTTCCCGGTTAGCCGGTAATTAGGACTTTTTTGTCAACAAAATAAAGTTTATGACTTTCTTGTCAAATCGTCAATTAGGACTTTACTGTCAAAAAAATAAAGTTTATGAATTTTTTTGTCAAATCGTTGAAAATATTAGAACTTTAGTGTATATATACTTTTTTTGGTTAGAAATTTAATGGTATGATACTCTTTAAGCATAAGAGTTATTGAAACATTCTCTAATCAGTTAGATCCTATTGAAATCTTTTACGTTTGCTTCTTGTTAAATCGTTTTTTTAATCTCAACAAAACGATATTGAAAAAAATTAAGATAATCAAGAAAGAAAGAAATAACCAGGGTTGTGTTGGCTTTTTGCAGCCCCAAAAATGGAGAAATTAGAAACCGAAAAAAAAAAAACGAAATTGCCTTTCTTTCCAATCTCCGCATTCACACCCTTTTGACTAGGCATGTGTTGTTTGTGTTTGTATAAAGCCAGGACACTTTCGTCTTTTTAGGTTTCTAATTTCTCCATTTTTTAGACTGGAAAAAAGCCAACACAACCCTGGTTATTTCTTTCTTTCTTGATTATCTCAATTTTTTTCAATGTCGGTTTATTGAGATTAAAAAAACGATTTAACAAGAAACAAACGTAAAAGATTTCAATAGGATCTAACTGATTAGAGAATGTTTCAATAACTCTTATGCTTAAAGAGTATCATACCTTTAAATTTCTAACCAAAAAAAGTATATATACACTAAAGTCCTAATATTTTCAACGATTTGACAAAAAAGCCCTAAACTTTATTTTTTTGACAGTAAAGTCCTAATTGACGATTTGACAAGAAAGTCCTAAACTTTATTTTGTTGACAAAAAAAATCCTAATTACCAGCTAACCGGGAAAAAAGGGTAAAAGTGTCAAAAAGTGCCGGTAATTTGGACTTTATTGTCAAAAAAATAAAGTTTAGGACTTTCTTGTCAAATTGATGAATATATTGGGACTTTACTGTATATATCCATTTTTCTTTTATTAAAATTAAGTGTATCATTTTTAATAAATTTCAATCTATCATTTTGGTGTCAATCACATATGTTAACGGAAAAAATCAAAATCAAAACTAAAAATCCGGAAAGTACCAAAATCGAATTGAAAAACCCTGGAAACTGATCCAAAAAATGCGCACAAAAAGTCCGCGAGACCTGTCCCAAAAAAAGCGGACCAAAAAAGACTCATTCTAAAAAAGATCAATCCTAAAAAAGACTTGCCCGAGACTCTCCAGGACAGATCTGAAAAAAGACCTGACTATTTCGAAACCAGCCTAAAAAAACCGAATTATTTTGAGACCGATCCGAAACCAATCTGGGACTACCAATATACCGCTCTATAGATAGGGCATGGAATATGGATTGGTTTATGGAAAAGCCCAAAAGATGCATTTTGGGATGAAGATGAAGTGAAGGTACAATGTGTAGTGGTTTTTAGGAAGAAGATTAAGTAAAGATACAAATGTGTGGTGTTTTTTGTGACGAAGATGAAGTGAAGGTACAAATTTGTAGTGGTTTTGGGTGGACAAACAAAAAAGATGCACATGTTGGGTTCACGAGTCGGTCCTAAGGAAAAAACAAGCCATCATTTGGATGTTGGACCTATTATAAAGGACAATACTTCCAAATTCCAAATTTCAATTTTCAACGATAAAATCATTTTATATTTATTGATGTATTTCTGATAAATTATTGGGTAATAAAATTCATGTATGTGATTTCGATTTAGAATCTACCATGCCTTATTTTGTATATTGGAGTTAGCATGGGAGTGAAATGATTGGTTTTAGTGGGTGTTTTTGATGTGTTGTAAAACTGATTTTGTTTTTATTTTTAGTTTTTATAGTCAAAATAATAATAATATGATTATATATTCCGGTTAAAATTGGAGTTGTAACTTTGAACTGTACATTTAAAGTTTATAAAATAGGCGAGTTAGAGATTACGATCAAAAAAGTAAATTTTATTTCATTTATATTATAATTTTTAGATCTTAACAAAAAGTTTGATTTGA